CCCCAAAACCCCAAAACCCCAAAACCCCAAACGCTTAGCCTGATATTGAAATTAGAGAATTTATCTTCGAAGCATTCTATTGGATTAGAAAGAACCAAGATTAAATAATTTCAATTTTTGAATGTCAACATATTTCTTTAATTTTTCTTTTTTTTCTTCAGTATTTCCCCATCCATCAATATAAATCGTGTCTAAATTTTGAAGAAAGCCATTAGACTGAGATAATCCTTCAATTAAGTGTTCAACTCCATAGCCATTATCTCCATAATCTTTCATTTTCAATTTTAACTCCTTTATGTTTGAACCTTCAAGGGAATTACCAAATTCAGGCACAGATTCAAGAGCAAAAATTCAACTTTGAAATTTTAAAGAGCGAACATGTTTGAACTCTTTAAAAATAGTCATCATTTGGCGTTGTCTTAGTTTCCAACTGATAATATGAAGTTTTTCAGTGACTCTGCTGCTCAGATTGATTAATGAGTTAAAATAGTAGTCAATTTGAAGTTTCCGCCCATATACAAAGGCTAATGTAAAGTATTGACAGCTTATAGGAAAATATCTGGTAAAAAAATTGTTGATATCCTTTAATTTATCTTTATGAATCCTCAGTTCTAATGTCTCAAACTCACATAGCCTTGTTTTAATCAATGAAAGATTTTTTATATTCTCTCCTGTGTCTAATTTAGCCATAATTTTGTCCAGAGAGGATATTGAGATTTGTTTTTTCCACCTTGGATTTGAAGCGAATTCTCTGAATTCTTCAAAGTTAGAAAGATCATATTCCAAAAGAAGATCATCCGAATCTAATAATTTAAATTTGTAATACTTTTTGCTTATAAAATATTCGGAAAGAGACTTGTAATTGAATAATCTGTAATATCTTTTTCTTTGTGTATAAACTTCTTGCTCAGCTTCATCGACAATGTCTTTGATTTCATCTTCAGTGTATTTCTCAATCGAAACAACTTCCTCTGGTATTTTTGAGCTGTTTGCCTCAGAATATTCGAGATTTTGAGCCTTGCATTCCTCTTCCTTAGTAAATACAGACATGTTTTTAGATTCCGAGCCAAGAGAAGTAAGATTAATATTTTCATTTTCATCAATGAATCCTAAATTATTACTAGATGTCCCTATTTCAGAACAATAATCTTCTGTATATAAGTGTCCTGGATTAAGTTGCTTATCTTCTTTACCATGTGACACTGGGGAAAGTGAATGATCTTCTCTTTCATCATAATTATTTTCATCTAGTTGACAGTTACTTTTTGGTTCTTGGTCTAAATCTTTATCTATTCTAGTTTTGGTAGATTTATTCTCTTCATGAAGCTGTTTATTTGTTTTAGAATCAGAAGGATAGGAAGATTGTTCAAATGATTCTTCAAATAAATAAGAATATTTATTTGTCCATTCTTTTTTAGATTTATTTGGGCAATTTAGTCCCATTCGCATGTTAGGTTCAATAACTGAAGAGCAATAATTCTTGTCTTTCTGTGTAGAAATGATATCTATATTGGATTCAATATTTTTGAAATTAGACCCAAGCTCTTTATGAACATAATCTTTGCATAAATACTCTAGGATTTCTTCTGCTTTTGAATTAACTTGTTTCTTCCTCCAGTATTTAGGAAACCTATTCTCGACAATATATTCGAGAATCTCTATTTTTAGCATATTTATAATAAACTTAGGATCACTTTCGTAGTCGTTCAAAGTTGGGATTCGATAATTGTTTCTCTCTTTAATATCTAAATCATCAGGTATTTGAATTTGATTAAATGAAGTTAGTTCAGTACCATTAAAATCTCTCACTTTACTCAAAGTTTGATATCATCCGACCCAATTCCTCAACATTTCATTATGGCATAACACAATCCATCCATCTTCAGAATCCATGGAATACCGTCCTAAGTTAAATAATTGGATATTTAAGGTAAAAGCCTAGTCCCTCATATCTTTTGATTCTTTCTGCCTTTAAAGCTAAGTTTTGGATGCGATACAATATTTCTAAAGGCTGTCCTGAATCGGATTTTAGCAGTGGGACGTATTCAGAACAGAAAGAATAATTCTTGTGGAATCTATGCATGGATCAGAGTTGAACTCCTAGTTCAGGAAGATAGTAGGAGGATTTTATGTCTCAGTTTCCATCATGTTGACAGAGGTTATTTCAAAAATTTATATAAGTTATAGGATAGCTTGGGATGTTCTTTTTAAATAGTAAGTTATCTTTTAATTGATTGATTTTAATCTCTCGAGAGCCAAAATCAAATATCGAAGTTGAAGCTATTCTCAAGTATCTGAAATAAAACTTAAGAAATTCTATTTGCTCGTCTGAGTTCTGAGGTTTTAAAATTCTCCAAATTTCATAAGGTTCATCATGGTTATAAATTCCAGCTATAATTGATAAATAATCATTCATATTTAGAGTATTGGAAGTAAATAATTTTTCATTAACATCAAGCTCTTTTACATTAATTTTGAATTTTCTCAAGGGCTTATCTAGATCTTTCAAAACATTTTTAAAAGAGATTATTTCTTCAGAAAGATTTGAACTTGGAAATGGCTTCTTCTTGTAGTAAACTCATTCCATTAGATAATACGACTCATCAATTCAAGACCTAATCTCTTTTCAAATCGAGAAGCAGCTGTCTTCTTCTTTTTCTGTTGATATATCGTTTTGTCAGAGAGAGAGAATTCCGATATTATCATTAGAAACCGACAAGAGATCAAATAAAGTTTTTAAATCTCAATACCGTGAAACAAGCTCAAGATTTAAATACATCTTTTTTGCTCTTTCCAGTCTTTCTTTTATAACTTCAGACTTGATCAAATTCTCGTTTTCATTTTTTAATAATTTACCCATCCCGTCTTTCCATTTTATTACAATATTTTTCCACATTCTACATACCTTCAATAAAGCATTAGATTTCATTTTAAAATATATACGAATCAATTTACAAACGTTCCGATTAAACTGATCTTTCTCGTTTTTTTCCTTCTGAGCGAAAACTTGTTCAAAAATTTCCTGTGCATTTTCTATAAACGTAATATCCTCCTCAGTTATCACACAAATATCTAAATAATACTGATCTGAGCTTATCCTAATATATTTCTCCCGTTCTGTATCATAATGCCATACACAAAAAGGCTCTTTCTTGTCCCCTTCCCCTCGATAGCAAATGGCTTTACACTCGCATCTTTCTGCAGAGCAAACAACTTCTCGATCTTCCATATTTTAATTATTATAAAATTTCAAGATTATTTCCCCTTTATGGGGTTTTGGGGTTTTGGGGTTTTGGGGTTTTGGGGTTTTGGGG